GCAGGTGTAAATAAATAGTTAAAAAAAGCCTACATATTACAGTAAAATAAAAAGGGATTCTGCCAAAACTTCTGAGTTGGTTTTAGCTTGGAATGTTTTCTGAATTCAGACATCAATTTTTGCAAATAAGGGTTAATAGATTGTGTCAAGGTTGAATGTGGATTAATGGATTGTGTTAACTTAGCTAATTATAATGTACTTAATAAACCATTATAAAACAGATCATGGGCTAACGTGATATGGATACTCAACCTGTGTGAAGTAGTACAGCTTCCATGTCAGCGTAACACTCAAATAGAATATTTGTTCATAGAGAAAAGTGAGGTGGGATGCAAACTTGCTCTTATTGGAATCTCGTTCCTGGGCTCATAGGACGTACAATGGAATGACCTGGATTATATGGACGCTAAGCGAGATTTCACTTTCAACAAGGATGGTTTCAGGGACATGCCAGACATGGTGAATGATTTCCATCATGATGGTCGGAGGTATGTCATGATTGTGGTAAGTTAATGAATCTTGAATTCTCCTTTGAGGGGCTTCCCTTGCAGTGGTTCAAAATATTTATTTATTTATTGGATTTATTTTATCTAATAAAAATATATTGGATTTATAATAGCACCTATTTGCCCACCAAAATATTGCTGTATTGAAGTTGACTTAAATGAAATGTAGATGATGCAGTTCTATGTCCAGCCCTCCCTAATGCAGTAGAGAGTCTTTTGCAAGGAAAATGCAATCTAGGTCTTCCAGTTTAGGAAATATTCCTAGTTTGGTAGGAGATTCTGTAAAGCAGAATTCCTTGTCATATGTCAGCCTATATTTGAGAAGGCCCGATCAGTTGCTAGAAGTATTGGAATGTAATTTAATGCATTTATGGTAACTTGACAAAATCTTGAAAACTTGTCAATATCTCAGCTTATACCTAACAGAATCAAGGCAAAGTTGTTTTGAGTTGCTTCCCAGCTTTTACGTTTACAGGACTCAAATATATTTTCTCAGTATTCTTCCCCTTCTCTGAGTCAAACTAATACAGCTGATCCTCAACTTACAAGTGTTTGTTTAGTGACTGCTCGAAGTTACAACAGCACTGAAAAAAGTTACAAATGACCATATTTCATGCTTGCAGTTGTTACAGCATCCCTATGTGATCAAAATTCAGAATTTTGGTAACTGACTCCTAGTTATGGCGGTTGCAGTGTCCCGGGGTCATGTGATCACCTTTTGCAATCTTCTGACAAGCAAAGTCAGAGAGCAAGGCAAATTCACTTAGCAACCATGTTACCAATTTAACAAATGCAGTGATTCACTTAACAACTGTGGCAAGAAAGGTCGTAAAATGGGGCAAAATTCTCTTAGCAAATATCTCACTTAGCAACAGAAATCGGGCTCAATTTTGGTTGTAAGTCAAGGACTACCTGTGTTCTGTCACATTTGCAATCTTTTAATAGGTGGGGGTCATATGAATGGAAAAGTCATTTATGTTTGGGACAATGAAGGAAGTAGCTTTTTCAAAGGAGTCTCTGTTGAAAATTTGGAAGAGAGACAGACAGGTGATAGTACAATATCAGTGTGGCTTTCTTATATGTTTCAATAAGATTGGGATGGTCTGATTTTTTTTTTATCCTCCCCTGAGGGATTTTGGAGTTCTTGATAAATTGTGATGGGACTAGGTTTCTGTTTCCAACGGCAGGAATCCACATTTTAGATTTTTAACAATAATGGAATAAAGCATTCATCTCTGAGACCTCAGATTACCCATCTCTGCTTTTCAGAGTAGAAAGGAAAATTATACAGACCTAGAAACCACAGAGAACTTTACATGTTCATGTATTTAGACTTTTAAAGAAGCAACAGCAGCACGAATGACTTTCCATACTCATGTAACAGGTTGCTCTCTTTATGACCTTTTAATGTTCCACCCATGTTTTGCATTTAGAATGTGATCATCCACAAGCTGTGTGCTGTTGCCCAACTTCAGTAATGGATGTTCCTCTTCCTCCTAAAATGTCACGTTTGCTTCTGTTTTTCCCACTGTGAAAATGCCATAATCTGGACTCTCCACATATAAATAAAGGCATGTTCATTTCCTATGCCTCGTGTGCTTTTTTGACAATCTGTCTCCCAACTCTGAAGTACTGCCAAGGTTTGAAAGAGCGCCTTGTGCTTTGTTCCTTTGCTTGAGACAACTGTGTCCTGTGCCCTTCACATTTTCATACTCCCATCAAATCCATTAGGGCTAAACAGATGTCTCTCCTTCTGTTTCCTTGTAGGATCCAGGGATCAGCAGCACCAGCCCCCCTGGGAGTTATAGGCCCTATGATGAAGGCCTGAAGCGGGGGGTCTTCATCGTTAATGCAACAGGACAACCTTTGATTGGAAGGGTGAGACTTGATGGATCACCCATGAACATGGGCCCGTGCAGAAGCAGTCACTGGGTTCAAAATGGCAGGAGTGTCAGTCAAAGCCCTGTTCCTGTTTAAATGTATGCAATGAAACACATTGAAAAGTAGTGGGCTTCATTTGCACAGCCAGGCCTGCCATCTTGAAGCCAGTGACCAGTTCTTTGGATACTCCTGCCATGAGCCTTGGTAGAGAAAGGATAAGGCTTCGGTGAGGGAGATGCCATATGGTGAAATGTAAATCTGTAGTAGTCTAGTAGACCACAAAAGAAGAATAGAACAAAGGGAAGTGGGGAAAAATGTGTGTGTGTGTATACACGTACACATACATATACATATACATATGCATATATAATATATTTATAATAAATATATATAAAACTTAAGAAAACAGAGAGAGGGAGAGGAAGGGAGAGGGAGAGAGAGAGGGAGAGGGAGAGGAAGAGAGAGGGAGAGGGAGAGAGGGGGGAGAGAGGGAGGGGGAGAGGGAGGGAGAGAGAGAGAGAGTTTCCCTTATGAGAATTTCTCACGTGTTTCATGTCTTCCTTTGATCTTGAACCATTGAAATCCAGATATGAAGATACACATGTTGAATGTGGCTGCATTTGTAGTTTCACTATTGTACAATATCATGAAAGGGCAATGGGTTCAACTTCCAAACAAATGTATTTTTATTCTGACAATTAGCGTGTTAATCTTTTTATTGCTCCTTCTCCAAAGATACACTAAAATGCATCACTGTAGCCTATACAGAAGGGTTACTGATTTAGACACACAGCTCTGGTTTTTATCTTCCAGGTTTGGCCTGGGCCTACTGTCTTCCCTGATTTCACCAACCCAGAGACTCACCTGTGGTGGTATGACATGGTCAAGGATTTCCATGACAAAGTGCCCTTTGATGGCATGTGGATAGTGAGTTTCCAATCCTGGGACTTGAATGTTGAACAGTTGGGAGACTTTCTCTTTGGTTGATGATGCTTTTGCTTCTTTAAAATGAGATTCCTGTCTTGGAAGTTCTAATTTAGAAAAATAGGACACATGAATCTCTTTCTCTTCCTTCTTCTAGGACATGAATGAGCCATCAAATTTTGTGGATGGTTCCTTGGAAGATTGTCCAAACAACAAGCTTGAAAACCCCCCATATGTACCAGGTAAAAGGAGGAGGATCTTGTTTGGAGGGGATGCTTTTGGCAAACATGTTCTAGTTCACGGGTATCAAACTAATGGCACCACATGACATTTTATGGCATTTTTCCCCTTTGTGGAGCTGGGGACTGTGCATGAGGCATCCAGTTCCGCAGGCCTCCAGTTTGACACCCTTGGTCTAGTTGGACAACTAAAAAAAAAGTGAAATCAAATTTGAGGGATAGAAAAGGACAAAACAGTGGGTTAAGTCCACACACAAAATACTTACTATATTCCTTTTTTTTTAATTTAAATTTGTTAAAACATGGTTTCAGTTTAGTCCAGTTAACAGTTATCTTGATAAATATGATAAGATGGAAATCTGTCTTTCCACTCAGTAGCTCTTAGGGTGTGCGTGTGTGTGTGTGTGTGCGTGTGCGTGTATGTTTGTGTCTGGCTTTCAATATTGCCTTAAACCATAATTTGTTTAAATTATAACTGAACAAATCAGAGTGTTCTGATTTATATATAATATTGAACCTGAACCATATTTTATAAACTGCAGTGACTCAATTAACATATGATCAAATCAAACAGATTACCTATTGGCTTAGGATACTCTATGAACCAGCCATTGTGTATTTAAGAGGCTCTTTAAGTAATTTGGTGGAACTGTGATTCAATGCATGCTGGGCTTTTGTTTTTTTCTTTTTGAGCACAATTTCTAAATAATTATGCAGACAACTAATTGCTTCTAATAAAACAGGACATTGCAAAAATTCTGGCAAATACCTGTCAGGTAATTGAACAATAAATAGTTGCTGAATAACCTATAGTGAGGAAGATTTGGCGTACAATTTACAAGGATTTAAAATAAAATTGAAAGAATATACTTAATAGCATAAATCCTACTGATTTTCAGTATGGAAAATAAACATATTGTTGACTGAAATACATTGTACACATATAAACTTTATGTACAACTGTGCTACAAATGATACATAAGCACTGGATGCATGTGGCTTTTGAAAAATGCAAACATGGATTCTGAACATTCGACAGTTCTTTGACCTACCTTTGCAAACATTTGAATCTGGATATTTAAGACGACTTGTTGACTTTGTTCAATGTTTTTAGTTTTGGGGGCACCCAGTCAAGAGCTGACTCAAGTCTAGTTGCATTGAGACTGGATATAGAATAATTTCTTAGTGAGCTCTCTATGAATCTTCTAGCCTCCTCCCTGTAAGACCCAGATGCAAGTAATCAAGGAGGGATGTCTTTATGCCAGGAACCAGGGATCCAAAGCTCCCTGGGACATGTAAAAAACTCAGTTCTTCACATCTCACACATTTTTGCCTGGCGGCTTCCACAATTTCATTGGTTATATAGTATTTCTCCCCCTACATTTGCAGGAATGCTGGGTGGAACCTTGAAGGCAAAAACCCTCTGTGCCTCCAGTAGGCAGTACCTGTCTTCCCACTATAACTTGCACAGCCTTTATGGGTTGACTGAAGCCATTGCAACACACGAGTGAGTATGAAGGGGAATTCTGCCAGGTAGATAATTATTCCTCTGATTCTGCCCAAGACACAAATTACATATTATATTAGTTAGTTGGGAGTGTGAAAGCTCCAGGTTCCAGATCCACTGAGGTCCTTTGATTACATTTTTTCTGTTCCCAGTGCTTTGGTGAAAGTGCGAGGAAAGCGTCCATTTGTGATCTCACGTTCTACCTTTGCCAGCCATGGACACTATGCCGGCCATTGGACTGGGGATGTCATAAGCGTTTGGGAGCATTTATACTACAGTATACCAGGTACAAGTATTTGTAGAAACCATTTTGTGAACTTTTCCAAGTTCCTGCCTGTCTGTCATGGATTTTTTTTTTGTATCTCCTTTGGAAAGAAAAATATATCAGAAGAAGATTATATCTGGAAAGATATGATATTGTGGTTCCTCCAGCTTCCTCAGCATTTCTCCTATTGCTTTCTAGAGCTTACTGTCCAAGGTTTTTCCTAATCCACACTCTCTGTCTTCTTAAAGCAATGCTGCTCTTCAATCTCTATGGAGTGCCATTGGTCGGGGCTGACATCTGTGGGTTTCTGAACAGCACAACGGAAGAGCTGTGTGTACGCTGGACCCAACTGGGCGCATTCTACCCTTTCATGCGAAACCACAATGACCGGGGAAGTAAGGTAAGCATGATGTCTCTGCGTCTGCCTGGCCATTATTTTCATTTGGAGAGGGCTGTGACAAAATGGAGCAAAGCAGCAGGCTGGCAGGCCATTCTGGGAGCGATAATCTTACTACATCTAGAGCAGGGGTCCCCAAACTTGGCAACTTTAAGATTTGTGGACTTCAATTCCCAGAATTCTCCAGCCAGCTATTCTATGCTATGCTGGCTGGAGAATTCTGGGAGTTGAAGTCCATCAGTCTTAAAGTTGCCAAGTTTGGGGACCACTGATCTAGAGGCAGCAGGTTTAGGGAACTGGTTTAGAAAGTTTAAGTCGGTTAGGATGGGAAATCAGGTGGTAGTGAACCGTTTCTTAGAATTTGATTGGTCTCTCTAACAACATCACGTTCAAAGACAGGGGGTTAAGGGAAGTCCATGAACTTTTCAACAAGTTAAAATTGAAGTAGGCTTCAATTTGTTATGATTTTTTCCTGTCAAGCTTGTAGCCAAGGCTAGTATTCTTACTTTCATTGTAAATCAATGATTATGTAGCTTTTAGATTGAAATCACTGCAAGCAAGCACATAATAAATGATATTTATGTGTTTGGGTTTTTCCTCTTCTTTCTTAAAATTGAAAATAAATTACACAATCTTCTTTGTATTTGGAGCAAACAGTAAAATCTAGCTTTATAATAAGAAAAGTTTTTTTTAAAATGTATGTAACGTGCATTTATCCAATCAAGGCGCCAAAAGTTAATTTAGTGATTCAAGAATACTGGCTAAGAAGCAGAGAATACTCAGCCTCTAAGGCAGTATAATATTTAAAAATCAAAGAAATACAAATTGTCATAGGAAGCTATAACAATAGTCTTTGTACTTCTTGTGTGTGAAAAAACAATCTCTCTTTCTACATACTTTCTTAATTGCAGGGCAACATACTGGTTTTTTAGTCAATCCTCTATTAACTAACCACAAAAAACTAGGATTCATTTATAATGCACTCATATGCACGCTTACTTATTCAGAAGAAAATCTCACCAGCTTGCCACGTGAATGACTGAATTAGCATGTAGTGTCTAAATTGATCGTGTTCCTACTGATATAATACTGCAAGTTCAGTGGCTTTAATACTATCACTGCTATAGCACCGAGCTGTGGGATAATGCCATAAGGGATATTCTGTTATCTGGTTTAACACTATATCAGGTTAAGGCTTCTTTATGGTTATAGAATAAGCCATACCTGGCTGAGTCCCAATTTTAAAATAAACCATAAACTAGGGCCTTCTGTACTGGTTTTATATATATTAAACTAGAAGCAGATAAACCAGATGATGGCTTTAGTGTATAGTGTGAACTAGGCCTTAATGCCTCAATTCTTGTTAACTGCATTCTTCTTTTGAGTGTCGTGTAAGGGAGAACATGCTAGTAGCAGGAAGAAAAAAAGATTCAGTATGGAAAGAGCTTCCTGAATCCCTTCTTAGCAAATAGAAAAAAAATGCCGTTTCTGTCTCAGGAACCTTGCACTCACTTTTCGCCTTTCTGTTTTGCAGTCTCAAGAGCCATATGCCTTCAGCCCAGAAGCCCAAGAAGCCATGAGGAAAGCCTTTTCCCTGCGCTACTCCCTGTTGCCCTATCTTTACACCCTGTTCCACAAGGCCCACTCTGCAGGCGAGACAGTAGCCCGTCCTCTTTATTTTGAGTAAGTCAGAGAATGGCTGTGTTGTGCAGGTTAGGTTAGCTTCTGAACCATTATAAAGTAGTCTTCAGCGATGACCATCCCAGTGAGTTTTAGGGTAACTGCCATCATGGTGCGAATTCAGCGTCAGGCTGGGTAAGACTTGGAAGAAGTGTGGGATACAAGGCTGAAAGACAATTTCAAAATCTTTTTCCTGTCCTCAAAGAAGGACGTGGTGGTACTCTTGCTCAGTTCTGGCTGAAGGAAATAGATCTACACATGGGAGAAATACCTTTTGTAATGACTTTTTCTTCTTGTTTGACTGCCAGAAGTTCTTTGAAGTGGTCGTGTTCTTTTATCGTTCTTGCAGGTTCCCACAAGACACATATACGTGGACCATTGATAGGCAGTTCATGTGGGGAGCTGGGCTCCTCATTACTCCTGTGTTAGAAGAAGGGATAAGAAAAATGCCTGGCTATTTTCCTTTGGGGACATGGTATGATATCCTCACGGTGAGTGCGGCTTTTGGCATTCACAGAGGCTCAGATGGAATGTCTGTTACTCTTTGCCTTAATCAACCGTTAAACTTTATATACATGGCTGCAGTTGACCCATTTATTCCTACCTATCGTCTTGTGCCTGCTAAGACTTGTTCTTTTCTATAGTGTCAGTCCTATAGGTTAGGCAAGACTTTAAAAATCCAATGCCATATGGGTCTAAAACTTCTTTAATTAGAACTGCTACAGTAAAAGAATTTTCTAAGTCTGAATGTGCTCACTGCCTGGGATTTCTGTCAAGTTTTTTTTTTTTTTTTGGAATGGATGCCAGCCTCCCTTGTCTGATTCTTGCTTTGGTAGCACAAACCTTGTCTTAGATGACTTTTATATATTGTGGGCCTTCAGGGATCTGTCATCCACAGCAAGGGCCAGTGGATTCTCCTACCAGCTCCACTTGACACGATCAATGTCCATATCCGTGGAGGTCACATTCTTCCTTTGCAGGTAGGTCCAATACACCAGTTCTTCTCCTGCTGCTTTGCCAGAAAATAGGAAAATGGCAGCCCAATATTGCTGTAGATTCTCTGGCTTGAATGGTTTTTTTTAAAAAAAGATTTGCTTAGGATAGGAGGAGGAGGGGAGGGAATGTACTAAAGTGAAGAAGGCTTTGGGGCCTTTCTGCTTTGATAGCGCTTCTGTCTCTACTGCAAATCTCTTCAGGAGCCTGCTCTCACAACCACAGAGTCCCGTTCAAATGGAATGACTCTCATCGTGGCTTTGACACTGGAAGGGGTGGCCAGAGGCGATTTGTTCTGGGATGACGGTGAAGGGCTGCAGACCTTTGAGAAGGGTGATTACACACAGATCTTCTTTCTGGCAAGAAATGTGAGTCTGGAAGTAAGGCATTTGTTCTCGATAGCTAAACTGTGCTAGCCAGAGCAGATTAAATTTTAGCCAGTTATTTCCTAGTTTGGATTACTCCCAAGTGCAGATAGTTCTCAACAAACATTCGTTTAGTGACCAAAGTTACAATGGCCCTGAAAAAAAGTGATTTATGACTGGTTTTTTTTTTTCACACAATCGTTGTAGCATTCCACCATGGTCATGTGATCAAAATTTTGGACACTTGACAACTGGTGTGTATTTATGATGGTGGTAGTGTCCCTGGGTCATGTTGTAGGTGGTTGTAGTGTTCTTGGGTCACCTTCTGCAAACCTCTGACCAGCAAAGTCAACAAGGAAACCAGGTTCGCTTAACAACCATGTTATTAACTTAAAACTAGCGATTCATTTTACAGCGGTGGCAAGAAAGGTCATCAAATGGGGCAAAATCCACTTAACAACTGTCTTGCTTAGCAACAGAGATTGGGGAGTCATTTATGGTCGTAAGTTGAGGACTACCTGTGTTGAATACTTCAGAAGTGTGGGCCAGGGACTTGCTCTCCATTCCCCCTTTGCGACCTTCTGACGAGCAAAGTCAACAGAGAAGCCAGATTCATTTAAAAAACTTGTCACTTATTTAACAAGTACAGTGATTCATTTAACCGTAGCAAGGAAAGTCATAAAATGGGGCAAAGCTCACTTAACAGCTGTCCTGCTTAGCAATGGAAATGTTGGTCTCCATTGTGGTCATAAGTACCTTGTTTCCCTTCCTGTCCTATCTGCGTAAGAGTGTCATAGCAGGGCAGTAGATGAGATGGCAAGGCACAACATGCTGAAAACCCCCTGTGGACGTTCTAAGTCCATTTGAATAAGAGAATTGCTTTCTCAATGGCCAACCTTCTTTTGATTGGTGCCCTTCCACAACTGAGTTTTGTCCCCATTAACAGCAGGAGTCTGCAATTTTTCATGGCCAAGGGCCACGCTTGAATTTTGGCAGGTGTATTCTTGGCCACGTTGCAAAAAGTAGGACAGCCAGGAGTGGCTGAGTTTTGAGTATTAAATACAGTATATTAAGTGCAAGGGATAAGATTTCCAGAAGTTGATGTTCACTTCAGAAAAGGCTTTTAGGACTTTATGGGTTTGTTTATTTATTTAAAGAAATTTATATTGCCGCCCGTCTCACGCTTGGTGACTCTGGATGGCTTACAAAGATAAACCCTGATAATAATAATAAAAAAACCAATAACACTCCCTGGCAACAACAAACATGTGAGCCCCTTGATGGGGTCCATATCACTCTGGGATCCCCAGGCTCACTAGCAGGGCGGTGTTTTCAGGATCTTGTGGAAAAGTGTCAAGGTGGAAGCCAATTGTATCGATGCAAGGATGATGTTCCACAGGGATAGAGGGTTGCAGGTTGTACTTCAAAGGGCAGACTGATCAGTTATGTTGAGATTGGATAGGAAGGCAGTGGACAGAACCAGTTGTCTTCAAGGATAGACTGATTAACACATAGACAGCACCTTAACAACCTTAATAAGGTTGTTGCCTTTTTGTAGCAATGTTATCCAAAACATGAAAACAAAGCTGAGACTAGCGGAAATCCTCACACATTTTTTCTTAGCTAGATGTTTCTTCCTAAAGATCATTCTTAACCAGGCACCCTCTCTACATGCAGTCCTGTATCTCCAGTGACTGGTAAGCAACTGCAACTGCTGTGCGGTTCTAGGAAAACGGACAGGTATATGGGGTTGTAGAACAAGTGCCACTTGCCCACTTTTTCACCCTCCAGAGCACTTGAACTATATACTATTGGCTGTTAATAATCGAACTTTTTCTTACTTTTATATTTCAGTCCTGTCAGTTTTTTTAAAAAAATCCTCTCCTCTTGTCCTGATCCTTCGAGGATCTAGCTGCTTGCTGCTTTTAAGTGTTTTACTTGCACTGCCAATTATATGGGGGGGGGGGGAACCAAGAGAACGATCTCGTGGGATTTCACTACCGTGCCATGTTACATCAAATCTGGAAGTTGTATTCGGCTGCACTACAGCAGGACAACATACATCACCATGACAAGGCAGAGGAAAAAAAATCATGCGGCAATACTTCCAAAAACAGATAACGCTCAGAAAAATCTGGATATTATTTAATGTGCATCTAAGCATCATGACTCCATCAAATTTGCATCGTGGTTCCACCTGCTGTGTCCTTTGCCTTCTCCAAAAGTTTGACCCCTGACCTCTGAAAGCTGCCTGTTGTTGTACTACTTACATCGACTTCTCCTTTTCTTCTTGTTGCAGGGTGTGCTAGCGAATGAGATTATGCGACTTAGCGGCCACATAGACGGGCTCCTTCTGATACAGGTGCTAGCGTTAGGTGTTCCCAGCCCTCCCCGGCGGGTCCTAGCAAATGATATCCCCATCTTGGATTTTTCTTACCGAACTGACACCAAGGTAAGTAAGTTTCTTGCCCTTCAGACAGTTTCTGCGTGAGAACCCAGTCCAAAAATTGTCAATATAATTTATTGTTTTCAAAAAGTTCTTTATTGTTTTGATCGTTTTTATGGTTTTGGAATTGTAACCCCTCCAAGGTCATTGATTGAGCTAGGCAGCTATAGAAATTGAATGCATAAATAAATAACATCTTGCAGTGGTACTTTGATAAAGATTTTAGAGACATAAATGGATTTGGAGACAATAGTTAAGAAATAAGCTTCCTAGGAGTCTCAAAATTAGTTCTGCTGTTGAAACAAGATGTGGGAAACTGACCCTCCTCCAACTTTAGTGAAACTCCCCAAAGTTCTTCCTTCTGTGACACTGAAGTAGCCAACTGCCTAACTATTTATTGGTGAGCATCTGCTTGGAAACTGTGTGTATTTCAAAGTTAAGAAACAAAGGTTGACAAATATTCTGGCTATCTGTTGGGGACCTTCATGTAAAATTTAACTTGACCTTTCTTGAATTGTTTTATCTTTTCAATGCTTTTTATTCTATTAAAATGTTCTACTCGATAATAAATTAGGTTGAGTGTGCTTAAGATATACATAGGAAAAAATAGTTTGGAGCAATTGAAAATAAAGGAAAATATTCTTCTTCTGAGTCCCTTAGAATAGGGGTCCCCAACCCACAGCCCATGGACAGGCACCGGGCCATGGCATGCCAGCAACCGGGCTGCGCAAACAAGTGAAGGCCCATCTGCGGGATGCAGGCAGCATGCAAAACAGCACCCATTCGGTCCACAGAAAAACGTTTCTCCATGGAACTGGTCCCTAGTGCCCGAAAGGTTGGGGGCCGCTGCCTTAGAAGACACTGCTATGTTGCTAAAGCCAGAATGCATATATTTATTTTTCACTTAATTATTTTTTTTAGCTTGCTTTTCCCCTCTTTCTTTCTCGCTGCATAAGGTTGAATATGGCCCTCAGCCCCAGAAATGGCTTCCCTGTCCGGCATTTACGCAGCATCATTTTCTGTACCTCCCACCCAGCTAGCAACAGGCCAATACGAGTAGTCCTCCACTTACAAACATTCATTTAATGACCATTCAAAGATACAACGGCACTGAAAAAAGTGACTTATGACTGTTTTTCTCACAACAGTTGCAACATCCCCATGGTCACATGATCAAAATTTCGGACACTTGGCAACTGACTCATTTTTATGACTATTGCCGGTCCCAAAGTCATGTGATCACCTTTTGTGACTTTCTGTCAAGCACAGTCAATGGGGAAGCCAGATTCACTTAACAAGCATGTTACTCATTAAACAGCTATAGTGATTTACTTAACAACTGTGGCAAGAAGAGTCATAAAATGGATCAAAACTCACTTAACAATTGTCTTGCTTAACATAAATTTTGGGCTCATTTGTGACCGTTAGTCAAGGACTGCCTATATTTCAAATGATATAAAATGAAGATGGAGAGTTTGCACACATCCTTTTTAGTCATCAATTTGGATATGTATTTTTGTTTAGTTTTGTAAGGTAATTACTATCGTAATAGATGATTTTCTTCAGCGCTAAGCAGTAACTTCCATTTAATGCAGAAACTTTGCAGAATTCACATGGGAGGAACTTCCGTGTGGTTTGTAATACCCCTATTAACTTTGTAGTTCAGTGCAGGTAAGTGCATTGGTGTGTTCAAGAGGCTCCAGTGCACCATCTAAAGCTCCATTCTCTCCTCTGCTTTGCATGGACATTCATACCGCATAAATTATATTACTGCGTAATGTTTCTCACATTGATGACCTGATACTGTTTTGAGCAATTGTAACTAACTTCCCTTGTCACTTCTTCAGGTCCTTACTATTCCGCTCTCTCTGCTGATGGGGGAGGAATTTGTCATCACTTGGTCTTGAGAAGCAAAAACAGACAGACAACAATCTGAATGAAAGATAAACATCTCTGAAATATAAATGGAGGAAAAAAAATTTGACGAACAAGATCCTTTGCTCCAGTGTTCTAGTAGGATCATTAGGTCCTGCAGGAGATCTCCCATATTCCTTTATCCATGCTGGATATGTAACAAAATTTAGGTCGAGTTGGATGCTACCGGCTTTCATGACAAGATTCCCTAGTGGTTTGAATGATTGCAATTTTTCAAATGTCACCTCTCCCCTCTTAGAGGAGAATAAATAATTTCTGTTAAGGGTGTTGCCAGGATTCCAATAATATTTCCCAGAAATGCACAGGGAGTTGGAGTAGACTAGTTGATCTTCAAGTGCCATTGGTTATATTCTGTAATTTCATAAAATTAGGGATGGGGGAAAGAAAAAATGAAAGTACCAAATGTCCAAACCAATGTACTGATTACATGTTACTGGATGAATACAATAATTTGACAAACATGTCTATGCACTAGTGCTTTATACAGTTATATAAAACCACTTGTAATAGTTCCTTGATCCAGACATTTTGACCCAAGTTTTCCTCAGTGTCATACTGATGTTCTCGTGGCAGCCTTAGGGGAGAATGCTTATGCAGCTCTTTCTCTTGACAATAGATTGCTTCCCAGTTGTAATCTTTTATTGAGGGAATGGCTTAGTTCTCCATGAGAAAAATGAGTTGCTCCAAGGCCAGGCTTCTTTGAAGCCTCTTCTCTATTCAAATTAGGTAAATTAGTGACTTGCCTGAATAGAGAAATCCAGGAATAGAGTAGTTTCCACTTTTTCTTTTGCTTGATTCCTTGCTGGCCCACGCTTCTCTTTCACTTCTACAGGCCTTCCTTCTTACTTTCTATACAGCTGGAAGCACTGAGTCTAGAAATATTTCTGGAAATGAGGCTTATTCCAACTGAGGTTGGTGTTCTCTCTATACTATATTTATCTGCATAATTGAGAGTTGCTTCCTGTTCAAAATCATACAAAGATGTCTAATGTTGGAGTTAGACAAAATGTTGAAATGATATAACGTGGGATGCCCTATAGTGTTACAAAGATTTACAGTACAGAATTTTTATCAGATGATTATATTAAGGAAAAAAAATCTTAAGAGTTCATTGGTTTGACAATTCGGTATGTTTTATATATTTGCTTTAAAGCAAGCAGTGTGTTTTTGGCACCGATTAAAAGAGTTTGTATACTTCAGAAACTGCTCCTAATTTCTTCTTTCCATTGGACATGGAATAGGAAAGTCAAGGAAAAGTTGAAATTGTCGAAATGGATATGATGTATGCTATTTTGGATGTCCTAAGAATAAAGGAATGTTTATGAACCAGAATGGGCCAATTTAATTCAGACAATTAGATGGTTTGTGGCTCAGTTCATAAAATGGACCTGCTGTGTGTGAGGACATATTTAAGGACATATTTTAGTACCTGCTCAGTTACAATAAAATAAGAGACAAAATCATATCACAATTAATGGCTATCAAGTAAATATCAATAATGGACAACAGTGGAATCAAATAGATTACAAAACAGGAAACAAAAGATGGAGAAGTACTATCCAACTGGCTATGAGTTTCCAGATTTGTATTGTAGAACATACCATGAATTGCTGGTTTCAATTATTCAGGTAAAACATAGAACATTAAAGAGAAAGGTGTGTCAAAAAATAGGCTATTGAGAATATATATTGATCTTATAGTCTGACTGTAACAGCTTTGATGTGTCTAATTTGTACAAAAAAGACTATGAATTGCTATGAGAAGAGACAAGAGACATTGCAAAAACTGAATAGATATTGAATAACTGAAGCAAAAAAAATCCCAACATTTCAAAGAGGAAAAAAAAAACCTCAAGTGGCTTTCAGAACAATCAGTTGTTAGAGCCAGGCAAAAAATGAAGGATGGAATGGTTGGGCAGCTAGAAGAACATAATAGTGACTGAAGACAGACTTCCAAGGTCAAGCAAGCAAGAATTTAAAAAAAGGTTTTATTCTCAAGAACGTCATCAGAAGAATAAATGTAAAAAGAAAATGTAAAAAGAAGAGTACTTAAGATGTAGGTCTTCCCCAATGGGGAAGTGAGATTAGAGTGGAACAGAGTATGTTAGTGGCATTGGGGGAACGTGCCAATTTTTTATGTTTTTGAGTTATTGGTTTTATTGTTTCTTGTTTTTATTATGTATATGTTGCTTTATTCTTGACTGGAAACTGCCCAGATAGCAAGCTATGCAAAAGTTTTAAATAAATAAATAAACATTACAACTGAAGTGGAAATTCTTAAGGGTAATCATGAAAGAGGCCTACATGGTGCAAAGGATATTGAGTAAAAGGTTTTTTACAAACTGGAATAAAGTGTGATGGAAACATTTATAAAGAGCTCAGGAACTTGCTCTAAAAACTGACATCTTGAACAAGAAATCAGTTGTTCAGTAACAAAACAAATTCCCCCTTGCATTTCTGAAAACATCAGAAGTCAAAGCCTCAAAGATAAGTCCAGGTGCACTTTGAAAATATTTAGAAAAAATGTTCCATACCTTAAACAGACCACAGCATGTTTTAGTTATTCATCAAAACAGCCTGTTGTTTTTCATGCTACTGAAATCTGAAGAGTTGTGGCTACTGTAAGAGATTGTCTAAGTTTAATAAATTCAAAGCACAGGCAGCACTACTTAAAGGTCTGTGTTTATAAATACAGAATGAAGCTGTGTCTTCGAGGTGGAGAAGACTGCCGCACTCGCCTTCTAGGGAAGGAGAGATATAGGAGAATGTCCAAATTACTAGATCTACACTGACTTCTTGTTTAAAGGCTTACCAGGGAGCATACAGAATGGAGAGAAAAATGCTAAATGAACAGGCACATCTCAGAAAAGGCAGAGGGACATGACATCTAAAAAAATGGATAATGGAGATAGGAGTATAAGAAGGAGATTTACCTTTGCTACGTTGACTACAATAAAATTCAAGCTCGACAATGTTAGAATGTGGAATACATCACTAATGGGAATGGTAGAACACTAGCTTGTTTTGAAGGACTTGAAGAATCTCTTAGGAATTGAGCCTGAAGAAAGGGAGTGGTTCAGAATAATGAAGGGAGTGAGTCAACATAATTTGTCCTCAATTGCTTAACTCAGCATGCTGGCTGTGGAATTCTAGGAGTTGAATGTCTATGGAGATTCTCAGTCATCCAGGTCATGGTTGTCCCAAAAGTGCTTTTTCAAAAAGCTTAGATGGGAAGTGAAACATCTTTAAAGAAAAAACAGAAAGTCCAGTTGCCTCTTGAAAAAACACTTTTGGGACGTCTACGAGTTGAAGTTCATACATCTTAATAGTTGCCAAATTTAAGAAACACTGGTTTAATTTATGCAGCAAATCTCAGGATTGAAAACAACAGCAGGAGTTACAAGCACGATGGTCCAACCAACAGTTTTGTGCCAAAGTGGTGGTTATCGTAAATGATACTATCCTGTCCCCTAGCAAATAGAAAAATCATACAATTTACCTATTACATTATTGCTGAAAGTGTAATATGCTATCTGAGTGCGCAGAATAAATTAAGCCAGGACTTGGCCATAGGACCTCTCTTTAATTCCAGGATTCATTAAATCTGGATTGCTAGAAATTCTTTTTTCTGATTGGAATTGAAGACAAGGCATTTCAGAACCAGGCATTATGGAACACCATTGTACTTCAGGGTTCAGGAGAAGATCATAGTTAAGCATGAACCTTTCATCCTGGATTCTTTGGGACTATTTTTAGTACATTGTAAAAAAAAAAAAGGAGCTGTTCTGTCATTTCCTCTCCCAAGCTTTGGAATCGCACACCTCAGGTTTTTTTCCTTGCCTGTCTGCAATCATAGATTTTCCAGTAATGTAGCTTGATCCACCTTTTCCTACAAACCCAGGTGAGGCCTCTGACTGGCTCTGCAAGTCTCATGAGCAGTTCCTTCTGCTTGAATAACTGGAGTAGCTGTCAGCAAAGCAAGTAACATTTCGTCACACAAAATTGGTGTCTGTTACTGACATAGAGGGCCACAGTGATAAATTCTTTCTGTCAAATAATGGGCCATAAAGACAAAGAAAAGTACCTTATACAGTTAGTCCTTGATTTACAACCACAGTTGAGCCCAAAATTTCCATTGCTAAGTGAGACAGTTGTTAAAGTGAGTGTTGTGCCCGATTTTAGACCGTTCTTGCCGTAGTCATTAAGTCAATGTTTAATTAATAACAGAGATAAGTGAATCTGGCTTCCCCATTGACTGCTTGTCAGATCGCCGAAGCTAATGATGTGACCCTGAAAAATTGCAACCATCATAAACATATGCCAGTTGCCAAGTGTCCAAATTTTGATCACGTGACCATGAGGATGCTGCAACTGATCATATGAAAAACAGTCCCCAATCGCTTTTTTCAGTATCGTTGTAACTTCGAATGCTCACTAAACGAAAGGTTATCAGTCAAGACTATCTGTACTAAATCAGAAGACCTAATTCTAACATTTCTGACACAGGCATCCTGCAACTTTGCTGTTGGAGAATCCTGCTGTTCAACTCAGAAGCTTGAACAAGTTGCTTTATGGTAGGCTTATGAAAGCAGATCGAGGGACCCATGTTTTCATTTGAACCATACGATTGGTCCTCCCACAAAGAAAGCATTTTTCTGTATTATGGTCTCTCCCATAAAGTTCAAATTCATCCTGGAAAGTCATTAGAATGTAGGTAGTAAGTTCCTTCAGACTGTGCGTGTCCTCTTTTTTGATTCATTTGGTGTTGGGTGAAGTACCACATGTCTTTCTCAGGATATAAATGAATGCATCAATTTAAGGCTTATGGTGGATATTTCTCTGCTTATTAAAAAGTATAGAAATGTCCATCACAATCCTTATAATTTAAGATGTCATTTAATATTTTATGTTAAAATCTCCTTTAGTTTTCTGTTCTTCCTGCTGCAGAGACTTGTATTTTCCCAAGTATGCTAAGATACAAAAATTTTAAATACCAGCCCAGAGGATGTGATGCATTTATACTCTCTTCTGCCTGTCCGGCACACAGCAACAAGCTGCTAAGGTCGAGTCTGAAGCCAAGTCTAACTTCCCCAACGTGGACTTCAACTCTTAGAAATTCAACACTGTTCCACTTGCCAAATAGTTGCAGTTAAAGTTATTTTGCAATTGTTGTGTTGCTTATGAAATTAAGCTAATGTTACTGGGAAGAGCTTCAGAAGTAAGAATAAGAATCAGAAAGGCATAGACTTTCTCCAAAATTTGGCTGCCCAGAAGTATTAAACTAATAAATGGAAACTCAATTTTTCTGTAGATGAAGGTGAAATTTCAGGGGAAGGAAGAATTAACCATCCTATCTTTCTTCCTTAAACTTCCATTAAAAGATTTCCAGCATATTTTTTCCATTGATAAGCCAAAGGGGGGAAAAAGTTTATTCACTGCTTTCCTAACAGATTAGAAAGATTAAATAATTAAAGTTTAGGTGATTGCAGGCTTTCTCTGGACATCCTAAATATCTGCCAAATCCAATACATTTAAGGAAAACTGATCTCTTTCTATATTCTCTAGGCCAGGGGAACTTATAACTACTGTATTTCCTTGACATTTTGAAAAAAAGACAAGTAGTGAGTTCATTTATACTTATTTAATTAGTTTGCAGTTTATCATCTGACACCGAGATGTATGGATCTTGAGTTTCAATTTTTGTCATCATGAACATTTTATTTAATAGCCAGTAATTCATGAACAGGTCTAAGTCTTTGCAAGCCTATCTAACCAGATAGATACCCAACTTTTAAATGTTTTTAATATGTTTATACATCCGCATATTTTTATGCTGATGTAACTTTTGATTGAGAGCTGCCCAGAGTTGGTTATGAGATGGGTGGCTATAGAAGTATTTTAAATAATTAACTATGACCGTTACCATTCCATAAAACTATATGAAGAAATACTTCCTTTTTGCCTACAGTCTCAGTATCATAAGCAACCCTCTGTGGTGTACATTTTTACATCAAGTAGGAAATTTAATTTTCTATTGCTCTTCCAAAGCTTAAGTAAACTGTACAGCACAATATCTTTCATGTCCAGTCACTGAACTCAATGGCTAGTAAGAATGCCTTAAATAAGTATTTTTTATTACTATGCACAGTCAATTATTTCCATACTCTAAGATAAAAATAATCAAACTGATGTCCTCAAGTTGCTTTAGATGACAATATTCCTAAGTTTTGAAGCCTGGAGATGATAAGAGTTGTAATTTAACTCAGGGAAGGCACAGTTTGGGAAGCATTGCTATAAGTTACAACAAACAATGGAATGCTATAGATATACAATTTGATGCCTGAGTAAAACTAACAATTTTTTTATTTCACCCAAGTCTAAAAAAATAACTTATTTTTGATCTGGGGAAAGAGTTCCCCTTGTTTCTGAAATGCATATTTCTGTTTCACTTGTTTAGCAGTATTTTAATCTGTTAACATTAGAAGACTTTGCCATTCTGTTTCTATTGATTTAAATATGGGGCTTATTATCCATAATATTTACTGTTATGCTTGTTGTATTTCTTTATTTAAGAATGAAATTGTAATTAATCCCTTCCCTTCCCAACACTCAAGATAACTCTCAGGATATTCTGATTTTAACATTCAATCAAACTAAGCTCCAAGCTGAGCTAAGAAGCAGAAAATACATGTTACAAATAAACTTACAGGATTTCAACATGTTATTTTAATGGAAGCATCCTACTCTGAGATTTTGGACATTGTGATCATTGTTAAATCTCTGTGCTTACTCTTCTATTTACAGATAAGAAAGCAGTCCCTGTCTTTGTGTGTTGATAGAGAACTGAGTTACCATGTCATTTATCTTTGAACTTTGGTTGCGTGATTATTTTTAATAAACTCTCTTTGACTAAAACCAAGTGGAGAGAGGACTGGTTATCTCCCAAGCCAAGGGATCTTTGGATGTTACAATAAAGGTGTATACCTCTGCTGCACTTTTGGCTTGGCCCTGAGCCAAAAGGAAGAACTTGTATTGGAGAAAGGAAATCTCCCAGGCAGGCAGAACTAGCCCTCCTGAAAAACCAGTTTGTCAGCTGCTGCTCAAAAATCAGTTTCCCTCTAAGACATGCTGTGACAACATGCCCACAACAACGTTTAACTCTATTGATCAACAGGAACAGGTAAGACGAGCGAGCGATGGGGGGGGTCCTCTGGTTTTGCTTTCAGCTTAAACCGGCCAGCGGGAAGACTGGCCTGAAGGAGG